AAAGCTATGTATGGGATGAAATAACACAAATTGGAAATCTTTGATAATATGTATGGTGATAGGATAATATGTGTGTTTTGGTTTTTTTTGTTTGTTTTGCTTTTGTTGTTGTTTAAAAAATAAGATTGGGGGGAAAATGATTTGAGGAGGAATCATTCCAAAGTTTTCCCTAGAGGGAGCCCCTTATATAAATTTTATTCTTTGACTAAGAGCTTTTGTTATAAACTAAATGTTTTGCATTAGTGGGTTATTACATTTTTCCATTCAGTTGTAAGCCTGGCCCAAAGCTATGAAATAATAGTTTGTCTAACGTGCCTCAAAAACTGTTTTGCCATGAAGTGGAATTGGGGAGAGATGTGAGGAACATTCTTTTCCTTTGTCCCTTTTCATAATATTTTATTTGTGTTCTTTTCCTTTTTGTTCCTGTCCCTTTACCCCAGAGTGTATTTTTTACAGTGTCTGCTTGTACCACGTTTCGGATTCTTCTCTGTTTGTGTTTCCCCAGTTCTCTGTGGCTAATTGCAAATGGGCGAAAGAACCAGAACTCAGTACAGTACATTCAAGTTAAAGAGAAACTCAAATAATGATTGTTAGAAATTATTCCTCTTCTCTCCCATGGGTGTGGAATTTTTAAAACCTGGCTTAGATGATAATTAAATTTAAAATACAGATTTAAATGATTAGGGTACTATATCATCTAATTTCTCCTTTGGAGTGGGAGAAGTTGAAGGGTTTTTTTGTGGGGTGAGGTGGGAGAGTTGCAGCAGCTAGATGCAAACAAGATCACCCTTTGGAACAATGACAACGCTATGCTCACACTGGCAAGAAAAAAAAAAGAAACTGGGTGAGAAGACAGGGCGTACTAAATTGCAGGAAAATGCAACCAAGTCCTCATTTACAGCTCCATGGAGATTCTATTGTAAAGTTTTACTGCTTGCTTCTTTGCAAACATTCCTTTGGTGTGGGAGGCTGAGCCTGGGGGCATGGTTGGAGAAACAATAGTCTGGCTCTTCCCCCC